CGAAACATATTAGTTAAACTTATTTGAACATTGTTTTAACTACGGCCTGACGTTTCGGATGCTTTGCAGCAGCCGTGGTCTGTTTTATTTAAATGTGTACGTGAGTACCAAATACATGATGGACTCGTATGGTGTATTTAATTATGATAAATTTACAGCATATTGTCAAACAGTTAGAGTACTATTTTTAATGTATGATAGCGTTAAAATCTTAGAATATCTGTAATGGTAATTTATATAGTATCATGTATGTACTTGTTTGAATTAATTGCACATAGTATTAGATTATCTGTAAAAGGTGAGTGTTGCCCACGTTAGGTAGTGTATATTTGATGATCTATGGATTTCTTGTATTATATGTAGTTTGCAAGTAAGCTTTTTATGTTATATTTCTTTTTTATAATAACTCATTATAGGTATACCAAATGGAATGTAATAAAGAAATAAGGAAAATGAGAAGGTTTTTACTTTATTTACGGTGGCACGATACGTTTACCGGATTCCCTTTAAATATAGAGGCAGGTTGGTGGGTTTGGTGGAAATTTAATGAATTGAGTAACTTTAAGATAACCAATGCCATCATCTTTTGTCATAAAAAAGTTTTTCCTTTCAGTTAGGTTTTGTACACAACCCAGCGGGAAGACGATAGCCATTTTCAACAATTACACTTTCACGTTGAAGAGAATAGGTCAGAACCAAAATTTGTATTGGAGATGTAGCCGAACTAGCACCTGTAACGCAGGATTCACGACAAACGAAGAAGGCCAAGTAATACGTTCTCGAGACTGTCATAACCATGATCCTCCAAAGTTTATAATCAGAAACGGAACGTTTATTAAAATATAATATACAAACCGTTACTGTAGTATTATTAACAGTAAAATAAAACCATAGCCACCTTGAAATGTTAAAAGGCAAATGCCGGTACCGCATCTGACTAAGATGTTGTTGGGCTGAAGCATCTTTTAATTTCCTTTGTAAAAAATACAACTTAATTTATGTTAAGGTATTATTTCTATCGTTTTATTTTTCAGTTACGTACTGTGAAAAGCCTAACGGAAAGCGGATCGCTATTATCGACAAATTCAGTTTCACTTTGGAAGGAACTGGTGGGAACCAAAATATTTACTTGCGGTGTTCCCGAGCTAATAATTGTAAAGTGCGTTACGTTATTAATACAGCCGGCGAAGTGATATCTAGTCGAGGAGAACACAACCATGAACCACCAACATTTATTATCAGAAAAGGAGTTTATTTTAAAATAGGATAGCATGTCCAATTATGCGACACATCTCGCCCACGCTTTCTTCACTATACGTTATTAAGTTATCTTGTCTTGTCAGTAACCCTCAAAACTTAACATGTCAAACGTCCTACACGTTTGACATGTTAAGCGATGCGATGCGAACATACTTACCGCCAAATTCACTAAATTATTTTTATTTTTAAAGAGTAGTTAAAGAGAGTTTTAGTTTTAAAAAGTTATGGGTAAACCTTAGGATTGGAAACGTACAATAAATATAACTGTCTCTACATTGTTATAGTTAATTGTGACAACTAATGACAAGTAGATTCTTCATTCTTCTTGTGAACAAAGTCTAAATAACAAATAAATAAAACTCATCGCTTGTGTACTCACTGCATGCTTGATGTAATATATTTGACCAAACAAAAGTTGCAATATACCGACTTAAATAAGATTAAAGAGATGTGTTTAAATGTGTACTAATCAGGAAATATACATACGTACAGATAACATTTATCTTTACTTTATATTTTGCATGATAACTTTCTCTATACAATCCAATAATCTGGCACACGCCGATTTTATAAGATGTCAGATTAGTGATATTTACTGTTTTTTTTTTTTTCAATAATTGTTCGCAATTTCTCCATAACGTTATCGGAGTCATTGTGTTTCTCATCTTAGTATTGAATGAGTAGATTAAAGTAATCAAGCGAAATAAACAGTATTTGCATTGCCTGATTACTTTATTTATACTTCTATTCTACTCGCTCTTTTGACATAATATTTTCCTAAGCTGAGGTATTTTTCCGTTTATAAATGGGCTATATCTTTCAATCCTTCTTATTCAACGAGTGATTTAACTTTAAAAACTTCTACGATTTTGTTTTTCGAGTTTCTTTTATACATTACTGTGGATTTTCTCGTCGTGAGTATGGAACCAATTGCTTCGGCTACAAGGACGGCAAACAAATTACTATATTGTATTGACTTGATATCGGAGGATGACAGTTTTATTTTATGTATTTATTTTTTTGTCAATTGTTAATACCTTTAATATATCAAACATAATAATCAGAGTAGAGACAGTGGTTAATCGTGGTTTATCAACATATTATATCTTTGTATAGGTCGCGGCAAGGATGTTTAGCCCTGAATGAAATGTAGAGGGGATAGTTGCGCATATGTAAAATCGCGCACGTAATTTATTGGAAAAGGTGACTGTACTTTAGAAGCAAGCGGAGCGTGGTATTGGTCCGAGAAAGACAAGACGACTGGGGAATCAATCAACGCTAGCGCATATAACGTTCACTCGCCCCGCCCCCGCTTTGGTCCCTTCGATACTTTACTTTAGACTTGTGCGCAGGATTCGTTTAGCTCTAAAGACCCGTGCTGCTACTTATAATAATAGTTTTCGTTTTTTGTTTTTGTCTTTTATTATAATTTTTTAATAAACTGTTTTCGCTTAACCCTTGTTTTGTACTATAACTAATATTATTTTCACGGAATTTTACAATACACGTTGGCCTTTTTACAACTGTCACATTACACTTACATCATCAGGCTGTATGAGTAATGTGACCTAAATTTGGGTTTTTGATTTGTCCCGATGATCTTCGAACAGCTAAGAAACCTTTATTTAGACCTCGCTCTTATTAAGAATAAAAATTTCTTACTCTCTTACTGCGCATAAGGTTCATAGTTTTATAGACTCTGTTTCTTAGTAGTGTGATAATATAGATTCACACTTGAGGGTAATTTACTAAATAAAAAAATCATTACCGTTTTCAGTGATATATTGTTGTAGGCCGTCTGGAAAAAAGATGGCTATTCTAAACAACTATCCGTATTATTGGGACGAATCGCGACGGAAGAATAACTACTGGCGCTGCATGCAACGGTTTGGTACTGCCTGTAAGGCATGTTTCGTGACGACTGGTGATGGCGAAATTGTTCGCAATATTAAAGAGCATAATCACTCGCCGGCTCGATTTGTAATTAGAGATGGGATTTACCTGAGAATATAAGGAATCTAATGTTTGTATGAAACGCACTTGTAAATAGAACTGTACCATAGTAACGACATAAACTTTGATTTAAGATTTGAAAAGAGCATTAAAAATGTTTCGGATTATTAAATTTGTTTTTTTAAGAGACAGGTATTGATTAGTAGTGTTCGTTGTGCTTAGTAGTGATTATTTCTGACAGAAGTTAATTTACTCAGTGGAGGTATGTAAACGTTTTTTATCAGCAATTAAACCTGTTTCAGTCAAGTATTTGAAGAATCCGCAGGGAAATTCTATTGCAATTTATAGTGGCTACGCTTTCAATAAAGTGTCTAGTTCTAAAACGACGACCGTATGGCGATGTAATAGAGGTGGGAGGTGCAACGTAAGGTTCACGATGTCTCTATCCGGTCGATTCATCCGGCCCGTGCAAAAAGGCCACAATCATCCGAAACCATTGTTCGCCATCGTGGATGGAGTTTATATAAGTGCATACCGTACGCCGCGTTCTCCGCATTTTATTACATTCGAAAGAACCCTTAGTTGATCTTCAGGTTTTTAAAACCTGCGTTATAAGATATATGAGGCCGCTGGAGGCAGTGTATTTATCTGAAATTTTATGACTTGAGTTATTTATATTTATATAGTCTAAAAATGTTAATCTACAAGAGCACAGTGACCGAAAACTGTTACACAAATAATAAGTTAATTGCGCATTTTGTCCTCCTTATTGAAAAGTATGTTTTTTATTATTAGGCCACTCTGTCTCTTAGCAGCCTTATATATGTAAATTTTTAATATTTTATCGGCTGACTAATAAAAGTGTCTGTCCAATACACATAAATACGTAATAAAATCGAACTTGAAATTATAATAAAATTTAGCAAAAACTATATGCAATGTAGGCCCGTTGTGTGAACTAATCTGAAATTTAAATTATTTAAATTATTACTCTTAAAGTCCCGACATTGGGCACTGGTTACCTCTACCTAGGATGGTGTTTAAGAGCTTAAGAAAAGGACACGTGCTTTAACGTCTTTAATAACTGTTGTGATAACTGTCTCAGACCTAATAAAATAAATTGAAATGGGAATATTTTTTTTTATTACTATATATCCTTTGTAGATTCTGTATTTACTTCGACTATTTTCTACTCGAAATGCTTTCAGTGGATCTACTAAACACATCACAGCTTCTCACTAGCTGACCCGGCAAACTTCTTTTGCCTCATGAAGTATTTTGATCAAATTTGTTTACCATAAAAACGGTTCTTGCAAGTCAATCTAAAAATATAGACATTTACGTATGATGACACAGTCGTTTATTTTTAATTTTATTTAAAGAAGAAAATTTTATACATACATATTTTTAGGGTATCTTGAACCAATTTTGCAGCACACGCAACGGATAAATAATTTTACCCGTTTTTACCCATTTCCCGCTGTTTCTTCGCGCTTTCCGCAATAAATGGCCAACCAACACGTAAGATTTTTTCAATTCCTACTAGTAGTTCCTGAGATTAGCGCGTTCAAACAAAAAACTTTTCAGCTTTATAATATTAGCATAGATAGTCTTTGTTAAAGATGAAAGTAGTAATTCTACGAAGTTCTACCCTCCGCTGTTTATGTAAAGCAACATTTTGTCCGCTTTCGATCGCCGGTTCGGGCTCCGTCTTTGTCATCGAATTTTGGATCCGTCTAAAATACTTATTTCTTTCAGTTACCTACGCGCTGAACCATAATAACAAGATGTTAGCCATACTGGACGGCTACTCATTCTGTGCCGACGACCGCAATAAGACTACGACACATTGGGTCTGCACCAACACGGGTCTATGCAGGGCGCGATTTATTACCACTAAGGGCCGTGAATTTATCATTAAGATGCCAACAAGTCAACACACTCATGAACGACCGGAATTTTTCATCAAAAATGGCGTGTTTTACAGAAAGATAGGTAGACGTAGGAAATAAGAGAGCAGGTATTTTTTAAATAATAAAGGAAAAGTCGGCATAAAATGTACAACATTAAATAAAACCAAAACAGAAAAGAATTAATTATTTCAAGCTGCAATTCAACAAACTTATACAGAGGATAAGGTTTCTCATTAAAATTAAAATTAAATTACAAAGCAACGAAAAACCACCTTGATAACTGTAGGCAGACTGTTGACTTGTACTGACAGGGGTCAGTAACCATTGGTGTGACAAGTTATTAAGACAAAATATAAACTATCACTAGAGTACAGAGAACATGCTAAATACCAAATGAATTTCACTGATATCTTATTGTATTATTGTTTTTCGTGATAGAGGAACAAAATAAAATAATATATACTTTTTAAAATTTTAAAAACTATTTAGATTCGTAAAAAAATGTTTTGTTTGTTCGTCTGGGTGTGGGTTAGAGCATTTATAGAGAAAGGCAATAGGGTATAACATCGCGATGTGACTAATAGGAGCAACTATACAGCGGGAAATGTGAAAAAAAGGGGGAGAATTATTCATCTTTGTGGGTTTCCGATCCGTAAATTGCGAAAAAGGCTCAAGATACCCAAAAAATATGTGTGAAATTATAATTCCTCTTTCAAGAATCTAAAAAAAAATTCGCGACACTATAAGTCTATCTTTTAAGATTAACTTGCAAGAGTGACGAGACGCGACCGACTGCGTGGGTCTTAAAAATACATTTGAATGCCCAAAATAACTATTCTACGCGAACGATGTCGCTGACACTGCTAATAATACTTTTAGGAATTGACTGGATTAATTGTAAGAATAATATTTACAAACAACAATCGACCACCAAATACACTAACTAACACGCAAATACGCAAGCTACGTCACGACCAACCAATGCTGCCCCCGCCCACCGCTCAACGGCTCCCATAATAGTCGGCATGACGTCCGACGAATAAAAAAGTAAAGATCGACAATAAAAATCGATGCGCTAACGCATACGGTATTTTAATAAAATCCCTACTGAAGTAAGAATTTACAAGACGATAAGTTTAAATGGTATGTTTAACAAAAACTACTTTTACATGAAAAATGTTTTTTTATTAATCCTAAATTACTTAATAATTTCAATGTTAGTAGAGAAGAGTAAGCAAGGAAAAGTAAGTAAGTAAAAAAGAAAACACTTATTACGCTACGAGAAGAATTCAAACAATTCAATGGCGTTGTACTAGAGGACCACCGTGCAAAGCTCGCTTCAACACCGGTAATTACTTGAAGTTAAAAGGACGGTCTAATTACGAACATGGCCATAGCCCACCATTTTTCTTTATAAGGGACGGTTTGTGTTATAAAGCATAAACAGGAAAAATGTGAATTTACGGAAAAGAATATAATATTTATTTATAGAATAGTTACATTGGTCAAAATTTGGTTTTGCAAACCTCATCTTTATAAATTATTGCTGTTACCCACGACGTCGTCCGCGTTGTGTAATTCGGGTCCCGATGTTCTAGAATAAGAGTGTATGTCAATAGTGTCTATCTTTTAAAACATTGACACTATTGACATATACTATCGGGGACATTTCTATAGATTATCAAAAGAGGAATACCTTTTTGGCTATGTTGAATCGTTTTCGCAGCGTACCCAAGAGAAAATTTTTAAAGATAAATAACTTTTCTTCTTTCTTGCACATATTCCACCATTCCATCACTCCTATTGGTCGCATCGGGATGTTTTATGTTTGAAGCCTTCCTCGACAAATGTTTTAAACGACACAAAAGATTTTTCCAATACGTACGAAAAATAATTTTACATCGTAAACGTGCTTATCGCAGGAATTACTGGTTCGGCCAGTAGTTCCTGAGATTTGCCCGTTTAATCAAAGATACAAGCTCTGCAGCTTTATCATATTGTTAATTTAATTATACTGATTCAAATTTAAATTCTGTTGAATGTATTGTATAGATTTTTTACGGGTATATGCTAGTTTACTTGCCATAGAATGGAAATTAATACTTTAACCCAAATGTTTACTTGTTTGTCAGTTCGTTGTTGTTAAATTAATCAACCAATGGTTTACGATACTTTGTTAACTAGTGTCAAATATCTTTTAAAAAATTTTTAAAAGATATTTGACACTAGCAACGAATTTCGTTTATTTCTCTTTAATTACATCGATTAAAGAAAAGAAATAAATTGACATAATGCATTTTATGTTCTAATTTGTAATTGTTCATTGGCCAGTTAGTACACCTTTAAAAAGAAATTTGCATTGAATAAATTAAAAGTCCATGTAGTTTGAATAACTTTTACAACACGTGTAGAGCTTGAACCGGCATCCACTGGGTTCCGTAGAGCTGCTTGAAGAATTGATACGATAGCTCAATTGGTTGGAGCAATGCATTCTATTCGATAATAATTTTACTCAATTTAACAGTTTTCATCTTTTCAGTACAAATTTTCCGAAGACCGAACAGCGGCAACAAGGTAGCTGTGGTGGAGGGATACTCATTCTATCGAGCTAACAAGTTTCAACATTCGATTATCTGGCGTTGCTCCGCAAGTTCGCACTGCCTAGCCAGGTTTACTTGCTCGAATGACGGATACTTGTGCATATTGAAATCTAATTTGGTGCATAATCACCCGAAACCTCAGTTTCACATCCAGGACGGCGTGTTGTATAGATTTAAGTGACTAATCGTTATACATCATGAAATACGTTATGTCGTGTGTTCTATGGTGAGTATTATACGTTAAAGATATAAGATTAACACAGATATTGTGAGTTATACGATATGTCAGCGACCATATTTTATGCGAGAACACTATTTTCATAGTAAAGATAAATCCAACAAAATTGTTTTTGCCCTGGCAAGTATAGCGTCTAAAGAATCATTGTATTTAAGATATCGATTCAGTTGCCGATAAAATTGTATCGACAAGTTATAAGACGAATATTTTCTGTAATTTAGGCGAATGGTACACATTAAGTTATTTGTCTATTCCACCTATGGCTAATGAGATCTATCAATATCAAAGAATTAAAGATGGAAAAGAAAATAAGACTGCATACCGTTTCAAGTAAATGTTTGAAGGGGGATAGGGTCAGATTTGGATAACTTCACGTCCTCCGTACGGGGGGAATGCGGAAATTGATGGAATTGTTAGATGTGTGTCTCCAATATAATAATAATGATATCCATCTATTGGTTGTCGTTCGAATCATTAATTTCATATTTTTTTACAAATAGAAGGAAAGACAAGCATGATATTCACTTGATGGTAGGTGAAATAGTGCATTCATATAACATCAGATGCTCTGTCTTTCATCGTTTGGAAACCCTCGAACTGAAATTGAAACGCGTTTAACTTGACGGCTTTTTTCGTTTGTGGACGGTGGTTGGTAACCAGGACGGAATTTTAAACTTATATTAGCCATGCAATATCCAGTTTACTAAACAAATTCTAAAATGTTTCAAAGGGATAAGAAATTGATATTATAATATATTGGGCCCAACCCGTTAATTTATATAAGCGATAAATTTATACCATTGGACTTATAAGCCCAATAACATTTTCTACGGTGATAAAATATATACCGAATCATATTTTAATAACTGTATTATTATTCTTTATCTCAAAATAAAATGAATAGCTGTTATTAATAAGCTTAAGTTAACCCGACCACAACATGCATATATACAAATAGTAAGTGTATACAATAATGATTATAAGTAAGTACTATAAGTTCCTCCGTTTTAATCTCTTTTACTTTTTTTATATTATGTAAGCTGTAATTAATAAAAAAAGAAATACAAACTTTATTTTTTAAAATGATTTATTTTTTCTTAAGAAATTAGTTTTGGTTATTACTATAAATATTTGTGCCTTGTCGACATTTATATTTTTTAAATAAATGCAGTTCTAGTGCCATACAGCGTAGAAGTACGCTTTTTATTTTGGGTTCGAGCCCCGCTGATTTAAACTTTCTAACATAATTTTTTGATTCATATAAACTCTCGTGTATCTAATTTTTTTTGGACAATTTTAAATATTTTATATGCATCTGTTAATGCAATTAATAACTGTTAATAATCCCACGTTCTCTACGAGAAATAAAATTGTACAGTCTTTTCTTTACAGTGTTTATCGCTTTGTCTGAGAACGGGAACGAGATAGCTCTATATCAGGGATATACATATCGGCGGAATAGGGTATATCCCAATAAATGGCGATGTCGAACAAACGCGTATTGTACGGGGAGACTGACAACGGACGAGTATGACCGGGTGAAGCACGTGTCTGCAATACACAGACATCCAAAGGGACGTTATATTATAAAAGATGGAATTATTATTAAGATCGGTACAATTGAGAACGAAGTGTTATAATGAATCACGGGTACAGCGTTATATCTTCAAACTCGATCTTGGGGCAAATTGTGCCCTGGTTGTGCAACGAATTACTTGCAACTATGATAAGAGGATACATAAAAACTCCTATGACATGTGTTGCCTAACATTAAATGTTGCATTTTCAAATTCAGTTAAAAATTGTAATGGTCACGAATTTAAACTTTACTTTATCAATAAACGATGTTTTGCTCCTAATGTTGTAAATATAATAGGTAAAACCACAACCACAAAAAATTATCCTCTTAGACAAGTGTTTTAAATCCTTCCTTCTTCGTCGTCCTTAGCGGCGTTTGTGAATGACTATTTTCCAAAATATTGAGAATATAATATACTTTATCCTGCGTAGTTATTAAATACGTTATTGTATATAAACTATATTAACTTAATCTTATTTATTAAAGCCTAATTTTAGATTAAAGTTACTAATACCAAAATACGATTCGTAGCTATTCTCACGCTGGGATCCAAAGGTAAAGAGCAATTGTGTTTCGGTGGCTTCAAGTTCTACAAGCGAAACACGTCTCGAGATAGAGTTCGTTGGTGTTGCACGAAGCGGAAATGCACTGCCGCCGTCTACAGCGTCGGCGGACACGTCGTCGAAGTGCTAAACCGACACACACACTTTTTATGAACGTCGCATTCCAATTTCAAATAAGTAGTTAATTCAAATATTTTAAATAAAGAACTATATAAGTAGTTACCCACCTGATTAAATAAGTATTGAAATACACATATTATTAAATACATATAAATTATAGTATTAAAATAGTTCAATGACATTTATCCTGTTTTTTTTTTCAAGTTATTGCATCCTGTTTTTATAGACTGTGAAACTTAAATTATATATACCTTTATAATCTATGAGATTGGTGGATGGTCATGGTGGAGTTCCAATAGTAACGTGACATTTGGTAGTGACTTTGAAAGAAATTTGGATAATTGTTTATTACCTGTCTATGAGTTCTTACATTATATGAATGTCATGTCACCAAATTCATAAAATTAAGTAATTGTCGCATAGTTATTTCTAATAGAATAAAATTGTTACGAAAAGGTTTAACGGTAACTGTGTTTACTTTCACACTGTTTTCACATATAGTATTAATTAAATAAACAGTCACGATCAGTAAGTATAAGATTAAACATACATTACCCAACATTCATAGAAAATTTGACTTAAAACTGTCATTTAAATAAAACACTTTAACGGTTTAAAACGCGATATATTCGTTAAAAGTTATTTGAAAATGATTTTTGTCTCCCCGTGACCACGGCTGCTGCAAAGCATCCGAAACGTCGGGCCGAAGTTAAAAATCATTTTCAAATAAGTTTAACTAATATATCGCGTTTTAAACCGTTAAAGTGTTTTATTTAAATGTGTACTACTCGCGTAAACTATAGACAGTATTTAAAACTGCCATCCCTGACATAATTAATTCTTATCAACTCTCTGATCTGAGTTACAAGTAAAACCCTATATGAGCAAAAGTTGCGCTTTTAACGTTTGAACTAGAGGGAAGTTTATTTCGTTAGAAGATTACTATAAAATGTAATATGTAATTTTTAGCTGAATTCACAATAACACGTAGAGGCCGACATTTGTTGTTATACGACAGGCGACCCTTCTTACTACACTTAACTGCTGGACCTAGACAGAGGTGGAAATGTTCCGTCCGAAACTACTGCTGGTGCACGCCGTCAAAAAACACAATCATTGATCGACACCTGTTTCTGTTCTTCCAAATTTAAAAACCCAATATACAATATACATACACGATGCAAAACTTAAAATTGACAAGTGGCCGCTACAAATGTATGTTTTTTTGGGAAATCTAAGACAAGTATATTTTTGGTTTTGTGTACTAAAATGTATGTGGATAGTTCGAATTCATTGATAGCATGATAAGCAATGTCTACGAAAGCTCGCACGCCAAAGTTACGAGTTTTGCGATGTAGCTTCGCGTAGTAACGTGGTAATATAACGTGTTCACAATTTCACTTATTTGGATGCGTCACACACAGTCTGTACAGACCAAGAACTATGCCACGTGCATACGGTAGCTAATTTTCATAGCCAAAGAAAAACGTGATACGATTTCCACTGTGTCATGATAATGTCGATAAATCTAAAAAACGTTGAATTTAGACAAGGTCATACGTGCATTACGTGCGACGTAAATAACTATAAAAACAAATTTATAAATTGCAAAAGGCTTTCGGCCATTTTGTAAAGGTACTTGGATTCTAAAATCCAAGCTGTTCGACCGTCGTAATAGAGAAATGGTTTTCGACGTTTCGTAATCATGAGAAGATGACCACCTGAGGAGATATGCAGGGCCCGCCGCGTCCAACCAAAGGATACAATAAATTTTGTCTACCTACCGACACAGTTGGATCATGTTTCGATATTCTAACTTTTTTTCTACTTTCAGTAATACTGATTCAAACAAGGCAAGGCTTAGCCCTGATAGCAGCAGGCTACCGGTTCATTAGAAGATCATATATATCGAAAACCTTACAGAAATGTAGATGGCGCTGCTCTCTAGCAGGCAGATACAAGTGTAAAGCGAATATACATACGATCGAAAACAAGATTATCCTTTTCCAAAACGAACACAATCATGATCCACGCATATTTGAAAGCGTAAGGGGAACAGTGTTTGAATTTGATTGCCTTTCTAATTTTGTATGGTAATGATTTTCCTGTAATACAATATGAATAAGAAAGGCTGAATAAATGGATGATGGACGGTGTACGGTGCTCAGTGACTTCGAGGGAAATTGTAAAAAGAGAACGAAGTAAACTTAATAGAATTTTATAGGAAGATAATTTAATTACCATGCACGGTGCTTCCATCATTGCAAATTAAAATACCTCAACGTGACTTAATTTAGTCCGTCAGATATGAAAGATACTTTCGTCCATGTCGATTGTTATCAGGAAATTTGTTTTAAGCCTCGATAACATTTTAAATTTATAAAAGAAGATTAATGTTTCCTGTGTGTGTCTTTTACAATATTAACAAATTCTAATTCGAAAGAGACAATTTGAGAAAAGAAAATGCGCTAACTACCCCACTACGTAGTGTGTTTCACTTAATTGTTAAAAGTACAAATTTGATCTATAGATGATAAAGAATTTTGGCTTTTGCCATAAACTAACTTCTTTTGTATATTATTATGGGCCCAGTCTTTGTTGTGCGTATTATATTAGTATTTATTACGTGTTAAAAATACGAACCGATGCCAAATATTGCTATGCTTGTACTTTGGATCAAATAAGTGATGTGTTCTTTTATGTTTGTTATTCTTGTTGTTTTTTTGTGTGTAAATTTTGCCCGTATAAAAATTTTTTTTATTTAGGTTAATATTTATATAATTTAATGTTACATAAACGTTGAAAGTAATGGCACTTATTTTTAGTACAAATATTTTAATACTGCTTTTATGCCTAAGGCTTTATATATTTCTTTAACGAAGCTATCCGTGAATTTTTTTATGGCTTTATCTTTAAAATCGTCATGTAATAAACATCATCTTTCGGTACTTTTTACTGCAGAAATATGCTTTAAAAGTATGGGCCTTAATATTTTATTGATTAAACGAATAAATGCAGTAAGAAACAATGATCGGTAACAGGATATTTTTTGTTACAGGTATAGCAGTACAGGTGGTGAGTTTTTTAATTTAGAAAAATATTCAAATGATATTCGTTTTTTATCCTGTTTGTTTACACTAAAAGTTTGTTTTGTTTTGTTCTTATTTATTTCAGGCAGCAGTGATTCAAGAAATGTCTTTTTGTTCTTTATCTTTATGTCATTATTTAATGTTTTTTTTTAAATACGTTTTAACATAATATGTACGTATAATTATATTGCGTGATTTTTACAACATACCAAAAATATATATGTATGTCTTCAAATAAATATCTTTAACAACTTCTATTAACGATATGATAATATATGCTGAACACGTCTTTCTTTTCTCAGAAAGCAATGAAGAGCTATACAGAAATATGAAAGAAAAGAAAAGAATTAAGGAATATCTTTTTAAATAACGTAACAGAGGAAATTATTTATTTATTATTTGGAGTAATATAGTTTTTGTGTTGTTTACTCGAGAATATTTTGTTGGCAATTAATTTAAATATAAGACGTTATAAAAAGGTTTAAAAACCTATGCTATGTTTAAAGGCTATGATAAAATTATATATAATAAAATAAATATAAGGGCAACTAGATTTAGGCAATTGAACATTTTTTTGTTTTATAAATATGAAGTATTAAGATCCGTTAGATATATTAGTGTTATTTGTTATTCGTTTTTTATATTGTGTAATAAATATAATTAAATCCGATTTTTTTTATTTTGCTACGCCCCATAGAAACTAATTAATTAACTATTTTTATTATGCACTGATTTCTTAAAATATATATGTTAACATACATAGATATATACATTTACGTTGAAAAAAAGGGCTGTTGCATTGTGGAACGAACTTCAATATGAAGTTCACGTCTAAAATATTTTCATACACATCTTTAACTTAGTACATGTGTGGAAAGATTAGTGCGAAAGTAGTTGTCGTTCTTTCCTTGCTCCGAAAACCACCAGGCCAAATCTCTATGGGTCGGAGTCAGGTTCATTTCCTTATAAAAGTAATTCTTAATAAAGTAATACTTATAAATGTATTTCATAGCTCTACTAATTCTTGTAATAATATTTCATATTATAAAACGTCCTTCTACATTTTAGTGACGCTGGAAAGCCTTAACGCTCTAATAGTGAGATCTCCAAAAGGCAACTTCATGTTATTAATAGACGGCTACAGATTCTCGAAGCACAGAGAAGTTTGCGTACGGGGTATACAGAAGATACGTTGGCAATGCGCTAAGGGATGTAATGCAACGCTGACGACCTTCGGCGATGCGGTTGTCAAGTTTAACCTTCAGCATAACCACCGTAAAATGAATTAGTTACCTGATAAAAAAATAAACTTGTCTATGGTACATTTTTAAATTTGTTTGTTCTATTTCATTATTATTAAACGTTGGAAGATATATTCTTTTTTCAAATATTCACCATCAGAAGTCCCATATAGCTTTGCAAAATGGCCGCAGTTTCATACATTTTTAATGATGGCATATGTCAATTTTATAGTCATATTTTTTCTCTGTCTAAAAGGCTAGATTCGAATTGGATCGCCCTTAAAATAGACGTAGATCTTAGCGCACTTTGTTCAACAGGTATACTTAATATTGTAATCCGATGTAGACTAACAATATTTGTACAGAAGCATTCAATTAAACCTGGTATTTGAACATTCAGAGAAGTAATAAATTGTCTATTTTTCTTGTGACACGATTAGTTATAACTAAAATTGCTAGGATAAGCAGTTAATAAATCGATATCCTTGTTTCAGAAGCTCCGTTTATAGCTTATTCGAAGCGCGGCAACCCAATACTGGTGTTGAAGGGTTACAGGTATTCCCTGAAAGTGACGAAGGCTTTCGAAGATCACGTGATCAGACGGTGGCAGTGCTCGACGCACACAAACAGAGGTTGTCTCGCCACTGTAATTACACAAAACGAACACATCGTCAAAACGAAGAACGAACATAACCACGTTCAAAGTAACATCAGAAATGTGAAGTTGCATCTCTCGCCTATGCTTTTAGGCTTCCAATAACTATTGTAAAATACTCGATCACGATCTGGCTGTGCCAAAATTTACTTAAAAAAAAACTTCGATTTGTCTATTTTTACTGTTCTTTAGCTGAAGCTTTAAGAAGGAAGTTTCATTCTTCAGTTATTAAGTTTACAATTTTGGGACAGAGCTCTCATACGAGAATTTTTATATATTTTATCAATCAGGTGTTGTAAATGGAACGATACATTTAAGTAATTTATTTAAATACAATAATGTAATTTACACAAGTGTGTTAACATTAACATTTCGTTTGATACATTTGAGTATCCGAGACTACAACGTTAAGCTCTCTTAACATCTTTAGGTAGGCATGAGCCAAAGGCTGGCCAATGGTTACATTTATTTAAAACATTAACTGCTGCTGATTTAAAAAGTATACTGGATTATTGTGTGTAGTTTACGCGAGTAATACACATTACAATACACAACTTTTAACGGTTTAAATCGCGAAAAATATTTGTTTTTTTTTTTAATACGGCCTAACGTTACGCCTGCGTGTCACAACTGCTGCAAAACATTCGAATTATAATGATTCAAGTGTTTAAAATATATTTTTTTTAATTTTTAATCTTTTATCTAAACTCCGCCTAAAAAAAAATTATCAACGGTTTAAAAAATATATTGCGGTGTCACCGCGACGACCGCCGCTGCAAAAAGGTTGCGAAACGGGCCGTAGTTTGAAATCGTAAATAAGTTTAATTAATACATTTCGCTTTTCAAACCGTTAACACGTTCAGTGCGAAACATGGCTTAAAACACCCTGTACGTGTCTCGTCTTTGTAGCGGTAAGAAAAATCTTGAACTTCTATGTCGTGCGAGAGGCATAACTTCCGTTTGGTTCAGAGTAGGAGGGTGATAGCTATATATTTGTGATGTGCTATTCATTCCTAGTTCTATGGTAAATCAACTTTAATGCCGGGTTTGTTAGACCTCGTGCCGTACTGAATAAATAATTTACTAACATAGTGCGGAACAAGGTTGCGAACACCTCGTACGCCCGCGCACCTCGTACCGCACCTTACGCCAGCATCACGCGGTTAGTGTTGTGTAACGCATTCAAGGCTGCGCACGCGACAAAATGACACCGATCGAATAGGCATGTCGAAGCGTTGCAGAAAGAGGTTGATTGAGGAGAAACATGAAAAACGGGGTGGTGAATTTGAGACAAGATCAGAATATAGGAAGATATTTCAAAAACAGGTCAGTCACAAATACCTATGTTTATCTGTCAAATTAAATAATTGCAAAAAGTATGTGAGTCCCGTAAATTTTGACGAATTTGTTGGAAAAAAATGCTTACAATATTCCTGTCTGTAAAATCACCTGAAGATTTATACAAGTTATTTATAACAGATGAGATGGTCAATAAAATGGTGTTTCAGACAAAGAATTATCCACGAACCTATTTACGAACAAACTAACAAAACATGAATCGTAATTCACGAATGAAACGGTGGATTGATACTTTTTTTTGAAGAAATGAAAAAATTTCTTGCAGCTGTTATGGCAATGGGTTTATGTAAAGTACCGTATATAAACTTGTATTGGAGCAAGAACAAATTATATAGAAACGAATTCATACGTTCTGCAATTACAAGAGATAGATTTTTACTTCTATTGAAATGCTGGCATGCCAGTGATGTCTCGAACGATAAAAAAACTGACAAACTACATAAAATAAGAGACATGCTTTCGATGATCGCTGACAATTTTCGGAATATAATAAAACACGGAAAATATGTAGTAATTGATGAGACAATGATTCCCTGGAGAGGAAGATTAGGTTTCCGTCAGTATATAAAAAACAAATCTCACCGATATGGCGTTAAGCTTTACAAACTTTGCACTCCCGAAGGTTACACCTACCAAACAGAGATTTATACAGAAAAAAAAAGATCAGAAGCGAGAAGTCGATCACAATGAAAAAGTAGTATTAAGATTGATGACACATGATGATGATAAACAGAACCGGGAAGAATCGTAATTGTAGTTCATTTCTATACTTCGTTGAGTTTGGCAGAAAAACTCCTATTACGTAAAACTTTTCTATATGGAACTTTAAACTTAAAAAGTAAACATTTGCCAACGAAAATTGTTAATATGAAAATAAAAATATAATAGAAGAAATGTTTTAATGATGACTACCTGCAAAGATCATGACGATAAACTAATTGATACTTGGAAAAAGAAGAGAGGCACTAACGATACCACTAAAACCCCAGATGTGTTTTAATGTACAATTAAACAAAAAAAGGAATAGATTCCAGTGACCAAATGTCTTCCTATCATCATTAAAGAATGGAATTATGTGGTGGAGAAAAGTTTTAATGGAGCTAATATTTGGCACAGCCCTTATAATCGCCTGGATTATGTATAATTCAATTAATGATGGCAGGAATAAAATACCCAAGAGAATATTTGTGGAACAAATCATTGAAGCTTTTACGAAGAAAGACTTGTGTGTGGACCAGGTTAATATTGTCACTACTCTTAATATCGTTAATAGAAACGTGAATGTGACTCTTTGTCGGTGCCTGGCCACCGCAGCTACTGTGGGGAGAAATCTAACCAACTTAATCGAACTGCACCTGATTCTTACTCTTACCCTAATCTACTCACTTTAACCTTACTTTTACAGAACCCACTGAAAAACGGCATCATCTCGAAAAGGGACCGAAGAAGAGGAGATGTGTAGGGTGTTACAAAAAACTCCGCACCTTCTTACGCAGTCGGGAAGCTGATAAGAAAGTTAAAAAAATTCTTACTGTGTGCACCGTTTGCAAAAAACATTATTGCCTAAAATGTTTTAATGAAAAACATAAATAAAAGGAATACAATTATACAAAAAAACGATATTTTTTTCCCATTACTAAATAAAATGTCAACCTGCCATTTTTCAGTGCGATACGGGATATATTAGACCCCATATTTCATTTTATCTATAGAAACTAAACTAATTAATCTAACCACAGGCGGCGGCAGATTTAGGAACTAATTTCAATGCTAATAATAATCACGACCAAAAGTCGTCCACTACGTCTTTTTTGGCCCCAAAAAGAGGATTTTTGTCTCCTACGGGAAGTGGGGTTAAATTTGCCTCTTGCCGCCACAATCTCTTGTGTAGTACAAGGTTTAAAATGACCTGTAACGCAGTAATGGAATGTACAGATAAATCTGAACGTGTTAATGTGTATTACTCGCTTAAACTACACACAGTACTTAAACTCCGCCTGTTCCTTTAGTTGTTATTACTAACTGGTTTGTTAAATTATTCGTTCATACAATAATAATTGTAATTTTATATTTTCTATATACTTTTATATAAATCATGTTTTAATCGAATATACTGTAAATGTATCTCATTTCAAGTCAAGAAATATAATAATAGCAACCTAGGCTAAGGAGAATCTTCATTTATATACTCATTTTTTAACTAATAATTGTAAGTATCGTCGATTATTGTTTGTGTTCTGTGAAATATTGTTGTATAGTTGAATAAAAAATACAAAAATAAGCTTTTTATGGAATTCATTTTGTTGTCTAGTTTATTTGATTTTATATTTTATAACCATTTATTGATCTGAGGACTCATAGGATACTCATAATATAATTCTTTTTGTATCATAAACTTTGGGGATACCGAAATCTTGAAAGTAAGCGAAAGCCTAAATTGATTAAGGCTTAACGTGGCTATTTTAAAGCTTAGGGTTAGTTATTCTCGACAAAGCGAAGACTCATATACGACGCGTGAAAAAATAACCTGCTAATGAAATGCTTTGTAAGCAGCAAACACATTTGTCCTGCTCGACCAAAACTATTACACATTCCAAGATTCAAACCACAGCAACAGAAAGTTGCTAAGATTAATTAACAATAATGTGGTTTAAATAACACTTTAACGGTTTAAAACGCGATATATTAGTTAAACTTATTTGGAAATGATTTTTAACTTCGGCCCGACGTTTCGGATGCTTTGCAGCAGCCGTTAACCCGTTAAAGTGTTTTATTTAAATGTGTACTACTCGCGTAAACTATAGACAGTATTTAATAATGTGGTTGCAGGAGTTAGTTATATGATCAACCGAAAAGGCTACCCTTTAATGAAGCTGGATGGCTTCGCTTACACTAAGCAATTATCGAGAGATTTAGGCAATGGAATAACAAAGACGCGGTGGTACTGTACCCAGCGGCACAAAAAATGCAGGGCGTGTATTTATACTGTAAATGATGAAATTGCCACACAGAACCTGAAGCACAATCATTAACGGCTTGTTTTCCTTTTATACAGTATGTCCAAGTGGTGTTATATACCAGAGGTACCGGAAACTATGGTGCCTCTGGTGTTGCAAACGTCAATGAGGGTAGTTGTCGCTTAAAATCTGATGAGCACCCCACTCGTTTGACTCCCGTTTTTGCGTTTTTCATTTGCTCCAAATAATCAAATGAAGTCTAGGTAAATATTCTTATTGGGGTAAATTATCGACATCGATATTAGTCGGAGTTTGTATCGCATTAATGTCTTAAGACATGTTGTTATTTCTGAATTCTAGGGATAACAAGTTTTGTTGTAATATTAAAAGAAAATAGGCGTGCATGTGTAATTGTATCAATTGTGTATTAAAACTATTGAAATAAATTTATTTCTTTATTTTGTAACTATCATAGCAAGCTCATAATATAATGAATAAATCGACGAATAGATTGACTATTGGCCTGTGGTGATAAATTATCTGTATTACCTCTCACAACATTTTTTGCTCTTAGAATAAATATACACTGTAGCGTATTTGTAAAATATAATTATTTATTATTTCAGATATACAAAAGCGGTGTCTTCGTATGAATCCGTATTGTGCCAGAAAACTTCGTCGGATAAATAAAAAAGGGAGGAGTTACGACCTCAACAATATGGCGAAAGCGGTGACCGCAGTTGATAAAGGCATGAGTCAAAGACGAGCCTCAATCCTGTATAATATACCACGTTCAACTTTGGGTTATAGGCTTAACCACCGTCACAAAAATCCCGAACTCACACCGGAGGAAGAGAATTTAATAGAGGAATGGATTGGCAATTGTGGAAGTGACTTTCCTACTAAAGAGGATATCATAAACCAAGCAGCTAAAATTTTTAGGGAAAAGAACAAGAATATTTCTTTCGAAAATGGATCGAAATGGTTCAATCTGTTTTTGCGGCGGTATCCCGATATTTGTTTGCGACCAGACACATCTGGTTCTGATACGGAGTGAATATAGAATTGGAAAGAGCAATAAAAGAATTTAATCACATGAATGTGAATCGCAACACAAATAACGCATACAAATGTATATTATGTTGCAAGAGCGTTTCGTATTTATTAAGATTATGAAACAAATTGAATCCTATTATGAATTATATTGTACTAATTGTTGATTTCGTTAGAAAATTAGAGATTTCGTTAGTTAAATAGTTGTTTGATAAATACTTACTTCTCTTTCTTCCTTATTTAACGTTCTATCTTCTTTTTTCTTTCAAATATATGGCAGTTTTTCATATTAGGTTATTTTGTTGGTTTTTTCTGCGATTCACAAAGTTGGTTGAAAATTCGTTGTTGTTTTATTGTTGACTGAGATCAATATAATAATATCACACTTCTTTAATTTCACTAATAAACCTATATATATAAGTTTTGTAATATTACAGCCAGCTTCATACTATCAAGTAGAGGAAACCCTTTATTAATATACAACGGATATACATACTACGCGACATCTACTTCGGGGCGAAGGAAAAGATGGCGCTGCTCAACCCATAACAGCAAGGGATGCAATGCGTTGTGCTTCACGGATGATGACGTTATTTTTTACGTTAAGGGTACACATATGCACGAACCGAACTCTAACCTAAGAGCAAAGTGGAAAAAAGAACCATTAAATTTTTAAACTAAATGGTTATTTTGATATCTATATATTTAATTAGAGACATTATATAAATTGAATTAGTATTTTAGATGTCACTGCACCGTCCTGAAAGTGCATGCATAGTGGAACTGAAAACTTCGTTAACTTATAAATACTGGGGATTCATGGGATAGTAAGGTGTTGGTCGCGAGTCTGAGAACTTTCTTAGTCTCTCTTTAATAGAAACAATACAATCATAATTTGTTTCATCCTATTCTATTTAAATTTTTCCCAACAAAATTATCGTAAATTCAATAGTACTCATAAACTATATTTACATTAAAAATACGGTCATGTAATTTAAAACACTTGCTAACCTATTAGGTCCTATTTATATTTACAGAAGTTAGAATTTAATATTCACTTACTTTAAATATAATGCAGGCACGAAATCCTATAAACCTATAAAATAATAAAGAAATAGAGACTTCGTTTCGAAGTATGAACATAAATATAATGACTACGTACATCATTATATTCAATATTTAAATTAAAAATCGATTATTAATTGAAAAAAAAAATAAGATACGCCAGGACTTGAACCGGTTCATATGTGTAGGGCACGGTAGGTCAATTGGTTAGAGTGACAATACTGAACGCTGTGGAGGCCGGTTCAAGTCCTGCCCGTGTCGTAATTGTTTTTTTTTAATTTATAATCGATTTTTAATTTACATAGTGCCACCTTGTGCAAAATATAAAAGTTTTCAAATATTCAAAATTTGTTTTCCAGCCGAATACACAATATCGAATCGTGGAAACCGACTGTTGTTGTACGACGGCTATACTTACTATGCTGTTCCTAGCATGGGGATCAAAAAAAGATGGCGGTGTTCGACTCATGTCAGCCGAGGGTGTAAAGCTTTGTGCTACACCGTACAAGGAGCTGTGATTGCCGTCAATGGTTGTCACAATCACAAACCGAGTATGAATCAGGAAGCACATAGTGTAGATTGAGTTTAGTCCGATAAATTATATTACACCCAACGTTTTTAATTTCTATATATACTTCCCTTGTCTGTCTCATGCTTATCTTTCTGTCATATTCAAAATTACGGACAGAAAAGCATTCGTTAGTTGCTGAAATTGAAAAAAACTTCAACCCTGTAACATCTTTTTAGATGTGCTGCCGGCCTATTTTGGTTTGAGAGATTCAAAGACTGAAACTGAAAGGCTGATTTACAAACATATTCTCGAGTTTTCTCATACTGTAAAAGGGTAGATTTTCAGTTCACACTTGTTACGTCAACTATGAGAATATTAAAAAGTGTGAGACTTTGATAGTAAGGGCTAGAACATACATGTTAATTGATGACGTATTGAGACGTAATCCTCGACTAAGAAAAAAATAATGAACTTTAACTAGCCTGTCTTAAAACAAAAAACAAAGGGTATACCTCATATAAGATTATGATATGTGGTTTAACACATTTATTTACTATAGAAATAAAATTTCACTTCAGCGTAAACACAATATTGTACAGTAGATAATATTGTATGATGATAAGTGGAATAATGATGGAATAAGCTAGCGACTAAGAATTATATGAACAGTTTTTAATTTTCAGAGGCAGAGTCCCTTGAATACATTGTGATACCGAGCGGGCGCGGTAGGGGCATTCTGATCCTATTCAATGGCTACACTTACGCTTCGAGAGGCTCGCTGTACACTGCGTATTGTTCTAAAAGAGACACCGGTTGTCAAGCGCGCATAAAATTTTCTCGCGACGGACAGAAGAGAATACTGCTATATGAATCCAGAATTTATTGTCACGACCACCCTCCACCGGACTACATTGTTACGAAGAATGGAGAATATGTGAAAGCATAGATAATAATAATATTTACTGATAAAACTGTTCACCACAATCGACCCGATATTACCATACACAGTAAACAAAATAGAACAGTTTACTTAATAGATATAGCTATACGTAACGCTCACAATCTCACATCCACACACACTAGTAAATTAGCTTACGAATAGACATTAAAAATCAGTGGAAAGTCCCAACAGTCACGAATATATATACCCAAATCGCTACACACCATTAAAAACACTCAACCTAGTGGAGGTTCATCATACATACACACTTTTACAAAAAGCCGTAATTCTCAATACATATCGAATTGTAAAAAATATTTTATCAATGTAACCGGGTCATAACACCACATAAGTAATCTTGTTGTTTGGCCAAAGCTCGCAACGAGATTTTGTTCCCTTTATAGGGAGAATAGTATAACTTATATAATTAATTATTTTATTTAGCATTAATTTAGTACAATGCTAAAAAGCTGCTTATTAAATTAATTTGAAGAAAAGTGATGCCACAAGGGTCTTGCATCAGCATAAGTTGCATCACAGTTACGCTACAACACTGTTTTACAGCAAAATCCTAGTGCTGCGACAGCGCTCATACAACCATTTGATATTTTAATAACAGCGTCTTAAGCGGAAATTAGTAAGTAATGTATTAGTAACTATTGTAATTATTGGCGGTTGGAAAGAGTTGGAGAGGTTGAGGAGATTGAAATTCTTACGCCCAGCGGCTAGGTTCTAGGCCCGAAATTATAAACTATTATAATTTCGGGCTTATACTGCTATTATATTGTAACTGAAGGCGGCAAAACTATATTTTGGAACTATCAATATTTGTAATTGACTAGCCAGTTAAAATTTACCTCAGCTTATCTCTAACATTATAGTCTAGTCAGCGTAATGCCAACGTATACTGTATTTTAGTTCGTTATAGGAAACGTAGAAAAAAGGTAACGCTCCGTGTAGTTCGGGCTATAAGCATATCCTATCGTCCGAACTACATAGGGCGTTTAAAAAACTTAGCTACTAAATAAAGATGTGTTTAAAGCTCGCGGTCCTAAACCTAGAAATAAGTGTTTAATTTATTTATGTAGGTAAATAAGTTTTAATTAAGAATGTCGATGCACTTACTCAGACACCAGCAATAAGGCGTGTTGCTGTAGTTATTTTCTTATACTCGGATTACCTACAGAACGTTTCTGTACATCCCGCTTTGGGTTAAATAATAATAATTGAACATTGGTTTAATTGTTATTATTTAACTGCACTTTGAAATCGTATCCAAGGTATATTATTTACATGTACTTTGAATGATGCCGCTAGATGGCTCTTTTTAAATATTTTTAATTTTATTTATTGCCCATAAAGTTTTTATTGTGACTTTTTATACATTGATCAATTAACTATTGGTATTTTAACAGAATGTTTTTAATGAAATTTATAGTAATTATAAATATTTTAACGATATTAGTGTTATTAATATAAATTAATTATATATGTACTTCATTCATCTTGCATTTTAATGTTTCATCTACTTGGGTATCTTGAATCCCAAGAACACTTGCTCCCAGATTAGTGAGTAGGACCTAAGTTCGCTATACTGGCCATATAATTCCGTCTGTTTGTAGTTTTTCGTTTCCGTCTTCTTGCTTACACATGTGTATTAAGAAACAAATCAAATACATAATTTAAAAATCGGAATAAATTGAAAAAAAAAAATCAACTCAGGCACGACTTTAACCGGCAGCGTCAGCGTTCCGTGCTGCTCCTCAGCATTTTTTCAGTTTATTTTCGGTTTTTAAATTACATAGCGCCTTCATGTGCGATAACATGTGAACAATATCAAAGCTTTTAATCTAATATATTTCAAACAACAAACATCTTTATGCAGGTTAGTTATGTGAAGAGAAATAATCAACGTACTTATATTTTTAGATGAATACATTGAGTATTCAACGATACCGACGAGGCGCGGAAAGAGTTTACTTATTGTAGGCGGATATACTTTTTCTCAACTTCACGAGACACTCAATTACTACTGCTCAAAGAAAAACGCAGGTTGCAAGGCCCGTATCAAGCTCACTCCAGACAAAAGGATTTTAGTTGGTTATTCGATAGCAGGCACACACGATCATGCTCCGCCAGAATACGTCGTTACTTCAGAGGGACATTATGTTAAAATCAAATAAAGTTGGAGGCACAAAGTTAATCAAATTGTATCGAGGCCATTTCGGCAAGCTCCTTGTGTTTTCGTGCTATTCGGCTGTCGTGGAGATTTGAAAACCGTCAATGTCGAGACCCGATTCTTAATTATGACATTATTAATACTTAACTTTGGGATGCCGATTTTAATTAACGCTAGTCCTTATACAATAGGTCTCATAATAGTATGCCTAAAGGCGTTGTAGCTTTTGCGTTTATCGATACAATATGTTTTTGACTGTCTATAATCATTTTATGATTTTTTTTTATTATAAACGAAGGTATCAATAAAGAAATAGTGTCTGAAAATGGTATTTTTATGTAAATAAAGAAGAATTACTGATAACATTTTGTGTGTAAAATAATAATATATATTATATTTTCAGGAAATTACATTGAATATTCAATGATACCGACAAAATCGGGAAAGCATTTGCTTATGGTAGACGGCTACACCTTTTCGCAACGTCAGGACACTCTCAATTATTATTGTTCCAAGAAAGACGCGGGTTGCAAAGCGCGAATAAAGCTCACCCCGGATAAAAAGATTTTAGTTGATTATTCTATAGTAAGATCGCACTGTCACGAGCCGCCAAAATATGTGATCGCGGCAAATGGATCTTATGTGAAAATTAATTAGAATTGGAGACGAGAAGGTGGGATCAATATTTCGTAATTTGTTTAGCGATACAACAATAAAGAAATGAACACTAGTGATGGTATTTTTAATATAATCATTTTACTTATCATCAAAGTGTTAAAGCTAAAAGACAGCTGCAATAACTAAATATTAATCGACCTTATATTTCTAGATCAAATTGAATATTCAGTGATACCAACGAAACGAGGAAAGCAATTGCTTATGGTAGACGGTTATACATATTCTCAAAACCATGGAACACTTAGATACTATTGTTCCAAAAAAGACGTGGGTTGCAAAGCGGGAGTTAAGCTTACGCCAGACAAAAGGATTTTAAAAAATTCAATAATGGGATCTCACAATCATCCACCACCAAAATACGTGGTTACGTCGAACGGAACTTATGTGAAAATTTGATTGATTTAATGAATAGTTAAGGGTTGTTGTAAATTAAGCAATTTTTCAAAAAATATGACTAGTGTTACACTTATGTCTAAAAATAAAGAAATTGTGTTAACGTGTGGAATTCTTGGAGTGAACATTTGTTTATTCTTTGTTTGTTTTTTTGTAAAGGGTAAATTATGTTAAACTCGCGATGTCACACTTAAACATCATCGAAAGACGAAAAGTGTTACATTTGGGTGCAATATAATTTATCGTGCACAAACACAGTCGTGCCGTAAAAAAAAGTTTTCATATAATTAACCGTGAAAAAAGTACTTTCTGTACTTCTTTTTAGTAAAAAGAATAGTTTTTCTACCACATAATACATAATTGATAGTTTATACTAATACACGTTTATATAAGTAATAATTCAAGCAACTCGTGCTTCATATAGTCGCTAAAAAAATCCTACAATCTACTGATAGTAGAAGGTCCTAACCACCCCATTCTTACGATGTTAACAGATAACGTTTTTTGGATATTCTGCCGATTATTATAAAGTTAGGAAGGAATAGAATTTAATTACTTTTCACGCATCTATTGACCTGTGCTGTTGGTGTCAGGTACCGAGTCCGTTGGTTACAGGCCTAATTTTTTAAATATAAATGTAATAGTTTTATGGAAAATGATTCTTGCTAGTTGACATCTCGGCAGTTTTACCGGAAGAAGATGTCAAAGTTCGAAGATCACTCTACTTATTGTGCAAGGCAGTCTGGTTTTTGCATTGGTTTTTTTAAGATTTATTATTTGTTTAAAAATCGAAAAAAAAAATTAAAAAACTTTCGACTCGGGCAGGACTTGAACCGGCATCGTCAGCTTTCCGTGCTGTTGCTCTACCAATTGAGCTACCGAGTATTTTTTCAGTTTATTCCGATTTTTATAATTTATTTTATTTTTCAGATGAATTCGTTGAATATTCAATCATTCCAACTAAACGGGGGAAGAACCTGCTCATGTTGGGCGGTTATACGTTTTCCCAGGTTCACGAATCAATTCATTACAACTGTTCACAAAAGTACGTGGGCTGCAAGGCGCGACTTAAACTCACGCCAGACAAGAAGATTTTAAAAGATTATTCAATCATTGGATCTCATAACCATGCACCACCAAAGTACGTGGTTACGTCAGACGGACATTATATTAAATTTTCGTAGAGATGGAGATACAAGTGGGCATATTATGAATAACAAATAACCGTAAACTAATTTAGTCCTAAATAAGTAGGTAATAGAGTTTAAAGAATATCTGTAATTAGCTATATTTTTCACAATAATTTTGTAAAATATGACAATACAGTACTAATAAAGGTATAAATAAGGAATTGTGGTACAGTGGGATTTTTTAAATTCTATTTAATAGACTTCAACAATATTCTTGTGTTTTATTATATTGGTCGAATACCGAATATCTACATATTATTGGCCGAATAACGAATATTAAATAATATATTTTGTCATAGAGAAATAATTGGTAAAATGAAAAATTAAAATCATTGCTTAGTATATATTTATATTTTTATTTCTTTATAATATATAAGTAGTATTGGTACATAATAATAAATAGTTAGAACAAAACAAGAGCGCCAAACAATTATCTGTAAAGTTTTTGGAGAAATACAATACTTTTGCCTAATATTATATTGGTAGGGTTGAATATTGTATTGGTATATCGAATATATATTTATTTTTTAGAATAAAATTTAAAAATGGAATGGAAAATTTATCGT